ATCTCAACAATTAAAAAAAAAATTCTACATCATGAGAGAGAGCATTCGAACTATCTTATTCATAATTGCAGAAAATATTTTATTTACATTGCATTATTCTATCAAAGGGCAGAACGTTCATTTCATTGAATCTTACAATTATTAAAAAAAATTATTTAATAAAAGACGTAGATAAAAATAAGCAGGTGGCACGTAGATAAAAATAAGCAGGTGGTTCAAATTAAACGAGTAATCAAAATGGTAACCATTTTTGTCTCTTATAATAAAAATAATTATAATATTAAATAATTATCGATAGAGAAAAATTTAATTTAACGCAAAAAATATCTTCGAATACAATCTCAACAATTAAAAAAAAAATTCTACATCATGAGAGAGAATATTCGAACTATTTTATTCATAATTGCCGAAAATATTTTATTTACATTGCATTATTCTATCAAAGGGCAGAACGTTCATTTCGTTGAATCTTACAATTATTAAAAAAAAAAAATTTAATAAAAGATGCTTGTAACGTGTTCCCAAAAGCCTTTTCAATTTGTTAGCGCACGGAATTCCCCGTTTATATGCGCGAGACGCACAGGAGACTGCCTAGAATGCAGATATACGCAAATTAATTTCGCGAACGCGCAACAGCCTGCGTGAGAAATATCGCGGATACGCATGCGGTGGTATCTCGCACGCGTGGGTGTACAATTGCCAGGCATTACCGCAAAGATAAACGATTTGTTACCCTCGCGAAAGCTGACTACCTTCCTTCCATATCCGCTGTTTTTCCTCCGCATTCGCAAATTGCATAAATTCAATCGAAAGGTATTTATTCGACAAATTCTTTCAACTACATGTTACATTTCGATACGATCGCAAATGCCTGGTCTAAACAAGCACATGTGAAAACTGTCATATTCATCATTTTCTTCGATATTTGCGCGACGCACGTGCGAGATAATTGTCGCAAAAGTCAACCGTCGTGGGTGGCTTGTCGTCGTTTGCAATGACAAGCGATTCGCCATGGAGGCAGCAGCTGAGCATGGACTCTGTAATTTAGCACTTTACGAGCGATCTGCAGTAATAACCAGCAGATCCGGAAACAAAGCGCGAATTTTTAAAGACACTAAGAGAAGACCATCGTGATTTATGACAAAAGATTTATGATATTATTCCACTGATTTCTTTCAATTTTTTGATATTACTCTGTAACTTTTAAATCGACTGTTGACAAAATATTTTTATGCAAGCTATTTTTACGTTAATTTAACGATATTGATAGATAAATCAAAATTTACGTAATAATTACTACGTTGTAATTATTCCAGATATTTCGGCTCGCGATAAATAATTAGAATTAAATAATTAGAAACGATCCTGTAATTACCTCTATCGAATCTGATCACAGTTGATCATTTACATAAATTTACATGACTGAATTTGTTCGGTAAGATTGAAACTCGATTTTGCACGATTGCATAAATGCGTTGCGTAATAAAAACGTATTTCAATTTCAGTGCGTACACATGCTTGTGAAAGAGGAAAAAAAAATCGAGCGACATGAATGAAGTGGACAGGCGGAGAAAAGGAGCGAGGGCGGCAAACATATGATGTCATTTTGCGGTTCGCGGAAATTCCGGGGTTTCAAATATTGGAACGCATATCTCTGCAAGCAAACATTTATTTAACTCCCATCCCTCTCTCGACGGTTCTCGTCCCTCGAAATCATGGTCCGAGCGCGATTTCAATCTCCCTGCTTCCTCACCTGCCCCCTCGCTCGATGGCCGCGCGTTTATTCGACATTTCGCGCGAACGTGCCTTCGACGGCGACTGACGAAATGCAATTCAATCGAAGGCGACGCATCGAGTACGCACTGATGTAGTGGTGCCGATTAATGGACTGGAAGCGATCTTGTTTCCAACGTGCGTGCGCACGAGACCATTCCGGTCTTGATCAATCGCCGCAAAAAGGTGAGCGACCGCGTCGCATGCATCAGAGAAAATCAATCTCGATTCTAATTTAGCATCGCATCTATCTCTCTTTTAGATTTAAATCTCGCGCAACATGTATAAAATTATTTCCCCCTTCTTCGATAAGTAATACGTAATTATACAGGATGATTCATTTTAATCTTAATGGGCAAATATTTTGAAAAATATGCGAGATACGAAAAAATGTTTCAGACGAAAGTTATATGGTTTTAAAGGAGACATAAGATGGTCATTAATTTGACCATAAGTAGTTACTTGAAGATTGCGTGAAGGTCACCCTCAATTTTTTAAATGGAACCGCCTATTTTTTATTACATGTTCTTGTAGTTTATCTCGAGAGCTTTCCAAAACATTATAATTAAGTTAGTTTTCATTAAATACTTTCCGAGTTATGAGGCTTGAATTCGTTTCTTAATTTTACATAAACCGATAAAATATCTTGTAAAATATTCATTTTTCGATTATCTCACCTTAATATTTTTATATACAAAATAATGAAAGGAATCAATTGGTGTAAAGAAAACACGTAGTTATTTTTAAGAAAAAATATATAATTGTTAATTGCAAATTACATATTTTTTTTCGAAAGACCTATGTTTTTTTACACCAATTAATTCCTCTCATTATTTTATACATAAAAATATTAAGGTAAGATAATCGAAAAATGAACATTTTATAAGATATATATATTTTACGGTTTATGAAAATTAAGAACGATTTCAAGCCTCATAACTCGGAAAGTACTTAGTGAAAATTAACTTAATTATAGTGTTTTGGAAAGCTCTCGAGATAAGCTACAAAAATATGTAATAAAAAATGGGCGGTTCCATTTAAAAAATTGAGGATGATCTTCACGTGATCTTCAAGTAACTATTTAAGGTCAAATTAATGACACCATCTTATGTCTCCTTTAAAACCATATAACTTTTGTCTGAAATATTTTTTCGTATCTCGCATATTTTTCAAAATATTTGCCTGTTAAGATTAAAAGGAATCATCCTGTATATTCACCCTAGCAATTTTTCTGCAATTAAAATAAAAAAGAAAATAAAATTTAAAAATGCAAAGAAGAAATAAGGCTTAATAATGATGAATTTCGAGATAACTTTGATGAATTATGAATTCTTTGGTTCTTGTATGATTCTTCTTTGCATAAAACGAGAAACTGTGCGAGGGATTCAAAGAAGATGTAAGGTATTGTACACAAGACAACATGTGAAAAAAATCAAGAGGACTATGGGCACTATTTGCTGATTTTTCCTTTATATTTTCTTCATTTTTGATAGCATCAAAAAGAGCATAGATCTTGAGATAAATAAATTTTCAATAGAACGCATGAATATCTCCGCGTGGGAAGAAAAGATGATGAAAATAAAAATGATATGCGCTTCCGCGTTTCTCGATGCCATTGTTCGCTGTCACACGCTCGACGTGGGTGAGCAATCGCGTAGGTTCGTTCGGAGAGAATGGAAAGTCACCGAAAAGACACGGGTCTCTCGAAGCTCTCAAAGGAGAACTAAATTTAATGTCGCACTTACCTCGCCCCCTCTTAGGGGAATTTACCTGCGTTAATACTCAACGAGCACGGTTAGCCTTCATGGCGTTAACGTGAATTCGATACGCAGACCGCAAATATACTGCTGCAGCCGCCGTGCATTTTCAACCAAGAAAACCAGCGTCTGGTTTTCTGCATATTTCATCATGCGAATATTCCGCTACTAAATGCACATAGAATAGCTTCAAAAATACTTGAAAAACGCACAATTATAGTGTCAATTATAATCAAGATTGAAATTAAAAATTCAAAAATAAAATAAAATTATAAAATTATTCAAAAATTATCTTGCAAAAATTAATATCGATCTTAAAATTCCTAGTAACGCTTCAAAAAAATAATTAAAAGATAAACAATTATTAGACTACTATTGCATTAAAAATTCAAAAATAAAATAAAATTATAAAATTATTCAAAAATTATCAAGAAAAAATTAATATCGATCATAAAATTCCTAGTAACGCTTCAAAAAAATAATTAAAAAATAAACAATTATTAGACTACTATTGCATTAATGCGTGATCATTGCAATCATCGTAATATATGTTTAATTATATAATATGTTTTAAAATCTATTGCATTTAAGATATACAGCAAATTAAAAGATATATATTGTAAAATAAAGCGTAATTCTCCCTTTTTTAAAATTACCCCTCACACAATAGTAATCAAATAAATTACAGCAATTTCGTTGCGGCATTTTAATTAAAAACTTTTCCTCCGTAAGCGAAAACGCTTTAATGATGGTTCGCAAAATGACGTGCGTGCTTAATGCAAGCTATTCCGCTATTTTATCACCGCGGCGTGCATTTAAATTCTGTTTACAAATGATAATTATTCCTTCCGTTGAATGCACTATTTAGAAGAAAATTATCCTGTTCAACGTGCATCTCGAGAATCACAAACTAAAGCGTTCTAATTGCTCGACTCTCCGCCGAGACTTTTTGCGCGATCTCTGATGTATTTAACACATTATTTCGAGGTGGGTCTTCGCTTTAACGAGAGAGACTACTCAAAGTACCATCGGCTTTTCTTTCAGGACCTGAATCACGAATCACCCCGCTGTGACTGTGGCGAGGAAACGCGCACACACGTTGTCCTCTTCTCACTTAAATATCCTTCATTACCCGGGTGATTCTAAGTTTACGGTTGTCCACCGTGTGATTATCCGGAGTCTAACCGCAAGGGGCTCGTAAAGATACAGGGTCCATCCCGACAGGATCGACTTCAGGTGGCAAGAAAACAACTGTCCCAAGGTGCAATTAAGTGCGCAAAAATGGCTTCTATCATTACGCGAGCAATTTAAATAAATTACGCGAAACTCTCCGTTCGGGAAATCGGAATAGCTACAGATTTATACGTAAATGCAATAAAATAACAGTATTGATTATGATCGTAAATTTCATGAAATGTACCAAAGGTACCAATAATTGTTACTGATGTGGATTATACGGGCGACACTCACCTCTCACCTTCGTAGAAGCCCTCGAACTCCTCCTGCTGTTCGTTGATGGAGGCTTCGAGGTCCAGATAAGCGCCATAATCTCCGCCCTTGTACAGTTGGAGAGCCGTGTCGTCGAGCTGCAACACAGGTAGCGCATTGCGTTGAGAAACACGTGCTATTTTGCGTGCATGTTGCCGCTCGCGGCGGTAATCGCATCGCGGAAATTATTGCCGCGCCGATGGTGGTTATTAGCCGTTTTTCGCATAAACCGCTGTCTACTTAAAAGCCGCATCCACCGTGGACTCTTCGACGAAACTCGCGATCCTTGACACGCGCAAAAATTGTTGCAGAAAGTGAACAAAGGAGTCATGAACTTTTTCAGAAAATATTTGAAATTTCTCTCATATAAAAATATATATTATATAAAAATAATTTATATATCATATAAAAATATATATTATAATATTTTTTTAATGACAAAATAAAATAAATTGTTAAAATAAAATGTTAAATAAATTGTTAAAATAAAATGAAACTTGCAAGAAATGTTTTCCATTGAAATTTAAGTGGAATAAACGAATTTTAATTTCTAGAATGCATGAGCAATTCTATAATATTTATGCAAATTTTGCAATATATAAATTTCATTGCTGATTAATATTGTAACAATTTACAATTTACGTTAATTCTAAAAAATTATGTGTAATCATCTCACATCAAATAGAATATATGTCAAAAATATTTTATTAAAAAGAAATATATTTATTTATTTATATTAAATTATTTATCTCTTAATCATTGCACATTGGATTTATTTAATAAATTATGAATTGACTTTAATCCCTTTATTTTCTATAATTTTATTTTTTATTTAATTTTATTTCCATTAAAGACAATATAATCTTCGTAACTTTTCTCTTTACCTGTTTAATGAAAAAGTCGAATAGCTTTTAAATGAATTATCGTTGCACAAAAGACCTATTTCTGTTTGAAGTCGAGAGAGTGAAATGTTTTATAAATCGCTTGACTGATTCGAAATTAAGTTTAATATGTCCATTCGGTGAAAATGAACAATTTCTCTCATTGAGAGTTCGTTAAAGCTTTGGAACGAATTTAACGCAGCGCGTATAGGAGTATTACGGGTCAACAATCCGGGCTAATGCGGTTAATCTGCTAAATTTATCTAGGGATCAGTTGGTCCACATACGCGCCGTTCCCATACGAAAGATGATAATCGCTTGGTTTAGAATCAGGTGGTTCTCACCGAAAAAGCCCCTGGCTTACATAGCCTCATCTCAAAATATCAGAAGCGTAAATGAAAATGAGAATATAATGCACATATAGTGTGAAATTTATTTAACGATATAAGATTAATCATGCGAATAATTGCGTGGTAAATTAAGAACCGCAAGAAACTTCATGAATTGCATTTTTTGCATCTAAAGAAATACACGTAATAATTCTCGCTTGATCACGTATGTGGAAAATAAATGTCACGATAAATCTTTTGCCTTAAAAAAGTGCGCAAATAATCTCTGTTAGTCGCTTGAAAATGTATTAGGGAGGAATATATTAAAGCAAATTTAATGAAATTAAGATATCAAGCCAGAATGGCGAGAGTAATAAATAGAATGAGGTGAAAAATCCTGTCCTATTACTTTCCATCTTGACCTAGTACCTTTGGAATTTCACTATCCTGCTCTTCGCGCGTCGATCTATTAGAGTTGCACGAGAAAAGTCAAGATTAGTCTTGATCTTGTCTTGTCTTGTCTTGAATTTCAAGACAAGATCAAGACAAGATTTTTAATTAATTATCAAGATAATACCAAGACTAAGACTGTCAAGATTATTAGTCTTGTCAAGATTATTGGTTCTCAAAAAAACTAAAACATTTATATTTGTAAATGAAAAAAATATATCACTATATACGAATTTAAAAAAATTTTATTCAATAAAAACATTTATATTAATAAATTTAAAAACATTTAATATTAATACAATATAACATTTTTATAAATCAAACACGCAAATTTTAGACATTAAAGAGCATTCCACCCAGGAATTGATGCACATTAGTGCTTTTAAAGATTTACCTAGTAATCTGGTTCTATTTTTTGACATAGTCAGAGTTCCTATTGAGAAAAATCTTTCCACTGGCATGGACAAGGCAGTTGAACTTAAAATGTCTCGAGTCATTTTTGATAATGTGGGATAAATATGAACCTGATTATTTTATCACTCCAAAATATTTATATCTGCACGTTCCCTTGGAGTCTGTAAATAGTTATTAACTTCTCTTTTCCATGAAACATAAATGTTTTTTTATGTAAATAGACGACATTTATATCGATTACATAGTAATAATTATAATTAAAATATAATACAATAGTAATAATTAATTCAAATTATATTACAAAAATTATGTTAAACATTATTTAAAAAATTTTTTAATATTAGATAAAAAATTGTTAATAAAATCGAGACAAGACAATACAAGACGAGATTTTTGCTACCAATATTCACCCAAGACCAAGACAAGATTTAAATTTTTGAAAATTTTCAATAACAACACAATATTTTTACGAATATTGTCTTGTCTTGAGTCTTGTGCAACTCTAGAATGAGGTGAAAAATCCTGTCCTATTACTTTTCATCTTGACCTAGTACCTTTGGAATTTCACTATCCTGCTCTTCGCGCGCCGCTATCGAAGAAAGATCGCGTACAGCGATGAAAAATGCTGAGATCGCAGGAGCAACAAGTTGGCGCGTCTCTAGTTTTGACGACGCTACACGTGTCGCACGTGAAATCGCAGCGTCGACAAGAAACTTTGCGCGATCGCAAGTCTGCGAACTGACCAAATCAAATTTCTTTACGGACGCTGAATTTCCCATCGCGAAAGATAGTAAAAATTGTTTCGACCGGTGATAAATCCGGAGGTAAGTAACCCCGATGAGAGACCGACGACTTTTTTCCGGCGCGTTCTTTTTTTAGGTCGCTTCCTTCTTTCACGAGATTAAGATTCCACTAGGTCCGGCGCGGCACGTTGCCAGCAGGGAATAACGGTACGCGAAGGAACACGCGCGTTTACGTAAAATCAGACGAGAGTGAGAGTAATATAGACGAACACCACACACACACATTAGAGTCCTAGATATGTAGCGGCCAGATTTATTTTCTTAATGCTTCTGCTGTTTAATACATACCATGCATCTACGAATATTTACAGCTGATCATTTATCATTGGGATTTTCTCACGGCAAGTTGCTGAAATTAATCAGCTGTTATTTTTAAATAGACATGGTGGCCCCGAACGTTCCAACCAGACTTTGAGATCTTATAGGAACTTTAATTCTGTACAAAAAATTTCCTATAAATACGGATCGAAAAATGTTTCTTTAAGAAGTTATCGCTCAAAAACCTCTGATGAAGGAAGAGCAAAAGGTGAAAAGAAAATGAAATAAAAAGAAAATGAAACCAAATAAATTTCTTGAAAAAAACGATAAAAATTAAAAAATAAAAATCTTTTTCTTTTATGAAAATAAAATAATTATTTTTTTTTAACAAACTTTTATTTGCGATAACTTCTCTAAGGAAGCATTTTTCGATCCATGTTTATAGGCAATTTTTTGTTCCGAATTAAATTTCCTATAAGATCTCAAAGTCTGGCTGGAACGTTCGGGGCCATCCTGTATAAAGAGTAGAGAAAGTAAAATATGTTATTATAGATTACTTTGGCAATTTTATTTGCGTATAAACTCTAAAGACAATGTTAATGATATAGTGTATTTTCGAATCAAGTCCCTTTCGGAAGCTCTAAAGAATTTTCAAAGATATTTTCGATATTTTAATTAATATTTTTTTACAATTGATATTTAATTAATATTTTTTTATAAATGTCGATTAAAAATATCTCCGATTATTTTTAGTCCATGTATAAATAAAATTGCCAAAAAGGTCCTCTTATAAAAGATATTTTATTTTCTCTGCTCTTTATGCATTTAAAAATGACAGCTGATTAATTTCAGCAACTTTTCGTGAGACACCTTATAAAAGAATGATTTAATTTGCGAAGAAAATAAATTTGCAACAACTCAATAAGGATTGTAAAAATTATATAAATACCATATAATATATAATAAATAATTCGCGCACAATTTTTTCTTTTATTTAATTTGACAATTGAACAAATTTAATAAAAATTTAATACAAATAAATCTTTCTATTTATTTTAATTAAATTGAACCAGATTAAAAATATAATATATAATAAATTCGCGCACAATTTTTTCTTTCATTTAGTTTGACAATTGAGTAAATTTAACAGTAAAAATAAATCTTTCTATTTCTTTTAATTAAAATGAACCAGATTTAAAAAAAGGTAACATCAGAAATTAATATAAAATCTTATATGTTACAAATATTATACGAAAAATTTGCTAAAAGAAATTCTTTTAGGTCCCAAGTTCACTTTTTTGCAAAAGCAATTCTGTAAATTTAAAAGAAAGCTATTTGCAATCTCCTCTCAAGCTCACGAAATAAAATCAAAATATTCTTTCTAATTTTTCCGATCAGTAGGACATATCTTGCGTGCACTTATGAGACTATGGTATAGCAGAATATGTGGTAACTTGAGACAAGACCGTCCAATTTGGTATGTATATTTGGAGTACGATGTGTGCTGAGTCACAATAAAGATTTTGTTCTTTCTCTCCGTTTCTTACATCGAATAAAAATAAAACGCGAACGAAATGTCACTTATAGCTCCAACATATTCCCAAGGTATACGTTGCAAATGAACCGAGCGTTTCCCAAGTTAGCACGCTTTGCGGCAAATAAAGAGGAATGAAAGAGAAAGGTGATGATCGCATCGCATCCAGGATATCGCGACAGCGTCTCGCCCACCCGAGAAGGGACGACGCGAATATAAACACGTTGTTGTGACCTATATTTCTAAAAATCTCAGCTTCAAAATAGTCGCACTAAGATACCGGTAGTCGTCGCGTTGCGTTGCTCTCCGGTGCGGAAACCGCATGTGGTTAATTACGCAATACGTCCGCGTCAGTTTCGAAAGCGATCTCTACTCTTTACATTATCGAAAGAGCTATCTCGCTGGAGGATATCGTTATTGAACACCATG